CATTACAAATTGTTTGCCGGTAATTTTTAAAATTTGTTTTAGAACACTAAATTACAAACAATTTTTACGGTTATTTTATTGTTTTTCTCTTGTTTCAGTTGTCTACCATGATGGGAAAGAAGCTACAAAAGGCCACTACATTACTGATGCTTTCCATGTAGGATATAATACATGGATCAGATATGATGACAGTTCTGTGAAAGTCATGTCACTAAACCAAGTTTTGACACCCCGGCCACCCCGTGTTCCTTACCTGTTGTATTACCGTCGCTTAGACACCATGTAGATTGACAAACATCAGAACTGGGTTTGTCCAGTCGATTGTTTCATGTGCCTTGAAATTGAAGAAAGAGATGTCTTCAATTTTGAATCTCTCTTTCGTGTAATTTTATATATCTTTCATTTGTATCATATTCATGCATTGTTTATAAATCATTTGGATATTCATCCAATCTAGCAGAGTTACTGCTCTGTAGTCTCTCTTGAGGGTGATGGTTTTCGTTTTGTGCTTTTGAAAGTTCTTCGCTCTGATAAGCAGTTTATTGTTTTTGACCTGTTAAGCTTCGGTCATTTCTTGAAGAACTCTTACTATAACTTCCAATTTTTACCTGAGTTCTGCTCAGGCTCAGTTTGGCCAGTTTGTGCTAGATGTTCCATTCTCCCCGAGTTAGCTGTATTTATTCTTATTCCGGTGAAAATTTTGTGCCTTTCCAAGAACTCTGCATTGTGTGCTCTCCAAAATGTTTACCAAATTTATTACAGTGTTAATTATTTGGTTTTATTGTTGCATTCAGGAATTTTAAATCTGTATCAATTTATCTTTATAAAGTTTTACAAATTATATCCAGAGTGTTCTATTAGTTTTTGTTTAAACCCCATTTATTTGTCATTGTAAGTAATAGGTGTAGCAGGGTGATTCAGTGAACTTTTCAACGCTTTTGGTTTTTTTCTGGTTGTTGTACAATCACCTCTTGTAAATGTATACATCTGGACTTTAGAGCAGATGATATAAATTTACTCATATCATATGTTTAGCAGAGATATTCAATCTAGCATTTGAGTTTTTTTTTTGTTTTTTTTTTCCCAGAATATTTCTTGTCTTAATCTTTGTAGCTGCTAAGTGCTTCTTAGCGTGATGAAGTTTATGACAGCTCTGTACTCTCAGATTACTGTTACCTCAGGTCATCGAGCCACCCAGCCCTCTGAGTTCAGTATTCCTGTTGCTTCCTATCCATCGAAAATTGCAAGGGTATAGTTCTACTTATCTACTTTTAGTGTAACTTCTTCGGTAATAGCTACCTTTTTTTTAACACTGGATGACTGCCACTGCTTGTAACATAGGAAGCATTCTTTTCAATTGCAACAACGTATTGCCTCTCTTAAAATTAGTATGCGCCAATATTTTAACGTGGAAGTGTACATGTTATTTTATTTCTAATTTAAAAAATATCTTCTGTTTTGTAGACTTTGTAACTAAGAGCTCAGCTAGATTTAGGTGGTATTGTTGTGCCAACCATCTTTCCATCTGTAGAACGTTTAAATTTCATCATTGAGCTTATCTAGCTGAATCTTGACTGAAATCTGTGATTATTATTTTTTTCTCTATAGGCCTCATCCACATGTACTTATTGTATTGTCTTTTTACTTCAAATAATTGCCATGAAATTTCTTCCCGGTTGAGATTTGTAAATGACTGTTTACATTAATGTCAAATGTGTGGTAATGTTGAAGCTGTACCAGATATAATTGTTCTGAACAATTTTTGTTTAAAATGTCTCTTGTGGACCCAATATCATGTGTGAACTATTCAGTTTCCACCAATGTTATTTTTCTATTGAAATAATTTTATATAATAGACATGTGAGATTGTTGGAAGTCCCTGTTCCCTTTTGCAAATGTAATTGAAATGTTTTATTCTTAAGCATGTTGTTATATGATGCCCTAATTTTGTTATGTGTGAAAGAAATTATGCTGTTCTTATTTTGGTAATTGCTATTAGGCTAGGTGTCTTGAAGGACCCTGTACAAAAGTTCAAGTTGTCATGCCTACAATCTTGATTCACGTTAGGTCTTCATTTAGTGTATTACAATTTTATTTTTGGAAGGAAGTAGAATAATGGAGCTGTTTAGCATAGATTAGAACAACTTTTAAATTTGAATACAAACAAATGACCAAAATTAACATTTGGTGTTGCATTTTTCATTTTGAATTTGATATTTTAATCAGTTTTTAATTTTAACAGTTGTTGGTATGGGTGGTAATCACAATTGCAGGAATTTTCACTTTCAGTGGTTTCTATATAATGAATATAGTCCAGTAGCAATGCCGTATTGTAAAAATTGCTGTAAATTACTTGTATATTTTTGTGCCAAAGCCCATACATGTAAATATTGTGTATTAAAGTGTTTTTTTTTTTGTTTTATTTTAGTCTTAACTTGCTTTCAGCATTGGAGTAATATACCTGTAAAGAAATTCACTAGTACCTAGGTAGGGTAATAAATTGTGCCAATGTGCTGAGATTCCAGAAAGCATAATGGTCTATTTTTTGCCAATCTGTAAAATCATTTTTAACTGGTGGTGTGATCAGTTGCCTTTTGTTTTCAATTAATTTTCAGTATCTCAGCATAAAGGTAGTATTGTTGGTGTGAAGCAATCAATTTAAGTACAAGCACATTGATTCACGTATGACAGTTTTGTTAAAAAAATGTTTGATAATCCTAAAGGTACCATGTATGTTCTTATCCAAAATGTATTTGGAATTCACAGGATGTGGTTGTTCATTTGATTCCTTAAGTGAGAGTTAACTTTTTCCCTTTGAAAACTCTCTGTATTGAGAGTATCCTGTGTTAACTATAATACAATCTGATGGTTGCTGATCTTATTGTGCTTTGGCACGTATCAAAATGGCTTCAGTATAAGCCTAATGAATGTGATATGTTTAGTGGAGTGTTACCCTAATTCTCTCAGGATTTGTTGACAACAAACCTAATAATGTTCATAATTCCTAAGTGAAAACAGCCAGTTGGTGTTGACTGTTGGGCAGTGCACATTACAATTGACTGGTGCATCTACTTTTTTATTGTGAGTGAATGGGTGTTTGTGCTGAGTTTTTCCACAGATATCAATGATCTCAGCCGAGCTCCAATTACCTGTGGGCTCATATGGCTCTGCCGTCTTGGATGTAAACACATTTCATAATTCAAACTGATTTTCTCCTTAATACATAATGTCTCTTCAGGACAATTGCATTTGAAGTATGTTTGCATCACAAGAATTTAGTCTGATTGGAGCATAACCAAGTAGTTTGTTCCATTTGCATTCACTGTTATCTAAAGACAAACCTTGTACTGAATGTGGTTTGGCGGTAATAAATCACTGTTTGCTCACTTTCGTGTCGCTTGATATTAGATGCGTCCTGTGTTCCTCTCAGCCAGCTTCCGAGCCTCCGTTTCTAGCGGCACCCGAGAAGGGAAGGACCAGCAGCCGCCCATATCTAGCGCAAGAGTTCAAGTATTCAGCTGGTGTACAGGCGGCTAGCGCTCTTCGCGCCCAAGGTCCGCTGCTGCTAGTGATGGCGGGAGAGGTGAGGGGGGGGGGGGAGGCAGAGTCCTAGGCGCGAGTGGGGCCGGGGCGTCCTTCCCTCCTCTCACTGGCTCAATTTGTTTCAAGGCGCCGCTGCGTTGAGAGTGCGCTGTGCGGAGAGATGGGCCGGAGGAGGGAATTACACCCCTCCGAACTTAACCTCCGCGCCCCGCGCTCGCCAGAGTCCCGGAGTCCCGCCGCCGCGCCGGCTGCTTCGGCCTTCCCCCGCCTCACCCGGTCCGCCCCGCCCTCCCCCGCCTGCCTCGCCCGGCCCGTCCGAACCACACCGCACGGCGGCGGCGTGTAGCGGCGTGGCGTGCTGCACGTTGAGGTGCTGTTCTGCTCAGTTGAGCTTTTCCCCTCAATCAACGACCTGGCCAGCAGGAGTCTGCCTGACCGCGCAGAGCGGCGCCAGCAGCAGAGCCCGCCCTGGACCACGTGCGCGGCGTGCGCAGGACCCGCAGACCCGCAGGACCGAGAGAGGCCGGCCCCCTCCTCCTGCTCCTCTCGCTGACATCTCGAGCAGCGGGCCGCAAGATTCGGCGCGCCGGAAGCTGGGCGGTTTGGTCCTCCTGGAGTCCCTGGCCGGCGCGGTCGCTGCTGCTGCGGTGCGTCTCATCCTCGCGGTGGTTGTCCGGGAGCTGACGGACGGGACGACATCATGCGGGCCGTCGGCGCGCTGCTGGTGTCCGTGGCGGCCAATGTGCTCGTGTCGGGGATGACAGGTGAGTGAGTGACGTGATGCTCCGGCAATGAATGGGCGGCCGCCAGCGACGGGGACGGGACGCGGACAGAGGTGCGCATTTGTCGCTCCGCCCCGCCGCGGGCCGCGGGTCCCGGTCGGTTGGAGGCGGTTGCCGGTAGGAAACCCGCTCATGAGCCCTTCCCCCTCACCCCCCTCGCTCGCGGGCCGGGACTAGGCGCTTTGAACGATCTATGCACATAGCTGGCCACTAACGTACCCGCGGGGTACCCGACCGGCGGGACGGGACACGACAACACTTCGTGTGGGGGGCCCGGCCCGGCCTGCGCCCGGACGAGCCGAGCCCGAGCGGAGCGGAGCAAGCAGCTGAGACTGAGAGGACCGGACTCGGGAAGGATCCGGTCCTGGGCCGAGTAGGGTCCGCTGCCGCTGGTCCCGCCGTGTCAGCTCTTGGGTCCGAAGACTTTGGCCCGGCACACCATGGGACGGACGGGCACGTGTTGGGAAGGGGGGCGGTGGGAGGTGGATTTAGCGGTGGATTTTAGAAGCTCGGAGAGCTAAAGAGCACCTGGACGGGGGGGGGGGGGGGGGAGACCCAGTGAGAAAATGCCCTTTCGGTATCGTTTCGACGGTTGTTGTTTCTCACTGGGTACCTGCTGGAGTTCCCCCTTATCTCATGGGTAGGCAGAGGGTGGGCGTGAGTCATGTGTGGTCTCGCCAAGCGCTAAAGTTGCCACACTCAGCTGATGTGAAAAGTGTTTCCTCGCGCACCCCCCCCCCTCCCCCCCTGTGTGTTTGTGTGTGTGAGGGGGGGAGGGGCGTGCTCGGGGGCCACATTGGCCACATTCTGCATACATAGCAAGAGGCGTACTCGTGCTCTGCTGCCTCATTGTGGTTGGACGGACAGGGAAGGGGAGGATGCTGGAGAGACCAGAAGTAATCAGGAGGGAAGCTCACCGGCTCGGCTCACCCGCTCGTCCGTCCGCTGCTGACCTGGCGGGCCTATGGCCTTCTTGCCGTCCTGCCGCATTGTTCTCCGCGTAATCTTAGAATCTGCTTGAGCAGCGTCCCCGCTGAGATGGCACCCGTCCTCGGTCCACTGTGCGTTGGCATGTTGAGGATTTTGCAAAGAGTGGTGATTTCGTTAAATTTTCCTCTCCCTGGTTAAGTTTTGATCAATCGGTTCGAGGGAATCATTATATAGGAACGATGGCCATGGGAATAGATAAGGAGTACAGTAAGGGCACCAGCTGACTGGAGGGTGACAATATAGCATGTAGGGCGGGACGGGTGCTGTGCGCGAGGTGCGAGCATGACCGAGTGACGGCTTGGTGGCAAGTCGTCGCCTGTTGAGAAATGGGTGCGCACCTCGATCCGTGACGCGAGGTGTCTGAATGCTCGCCTCGTAAATTCTTGGGAGTTTTCCCTCGTTTTGTCGACCTGATTACAAAGAGCCCCACACTTTTACCGAGTCAGCTCGGGTGCGGGGCGGGTGTCGAATGGGCGGGATGGCGGCATGGCGGCAGAATGGCCGGGCATTCCCACTCCTACCGGCTCTGCTCAGCTCTGCTCTGGGAACAAACATCCACGTAGGCTCAATTTTTCTGGCCCGGTTTGTTTTGTGTTTGTGTAGAGGCCGAGGCGCGTGCCGGGCGGCCGGCTGGGAGACTGGAGTTCGATTACTGGCCTCCGCGTTCATTTCGATTTCGTCGCTGTTAATGCTCAACGGACTCCAAATGGAGACCCTACGTGGCACTAGACTTCCCAACACAAGAGTAGTGTTGCTCTCGAGACTTTTCCGTGTAAGCAGGTGCGAGAGAGGAGGGACCCTACTCTTTTGCTGGGTGCTTGGAATACTAACGCGCCGCCAGTCCGTCTCTCCTCACCCGAGCTCTCCACCCAGAAAAATGTGTTCTCAATTCAAGTATCGTGCTTAAAATTTTGAGCCCCATTTCATTTCATGTTTTAGGTCCTTTTGTTCCTCAAAACAAGAAATGGAGCTTAAAAATTTAAGTACGATACTTGTATTGTGAACACATTTTTTGGGGTGTCGGAGCAAGGAGCAATCGATATGCTGTATGGTGTAAACACGGCAAGTGCCATCCCTGATGCCGCCGGCT